TTTTGAAAGATAGCTGCATAAAACAGTCATTGCTTTATCCGTGCGACTTTATTTGACCGAGCTAGAGCTAAAAAACCGAAAATAATATTGCAAATATCTGTTAAGAATCGGTTTCCCGATTTTTTAGTCCTTAAAACAGAGCTCGCCTGATAACCATCCTCAGCATTTATAATCATCATCATGCAGTCCATTACCATATCCTGATGTTTTCATTGTGTTTAAGTTTTTCTAGCCCACTTTTCGCCTAGTGTGTGGTGAAACAAGCCCAAGAAAGGGAGCTGGCAGGCAGCTTAAATGCTGCGGAATTTTAATAGTTCACGTAAGTGGTTTTTGGGGCGTTGGTAATGTTTATTAACCAACTTAGACCGTCTCCTTTTCTGGCCCTTCAGTGGAGCGTGTTTAATGCTCACTTAAGTTGCGTTTATACAAATTTCTTCGCCACTACACTCCCCTCCCCAACCAAGTCTTACCGCCGTTTCCTTTTGTTCTTTGTCCTGTCCGGTGCCTGCGAGCTGCTTTGGTTATCCTTCGGTTCCCAAGCAGAAAGTTTTGTGTAGAGTGGCTTAAGGTATCCTTAGAGGACTCTTCCCTCTGCTGATGCCCCTGAGTGAAGTGGATTCATTTGTGCTTGGGTTTAAATGCTTTGTTGTTTACATTCCTTGAAGTTTTGTGTCTCACGTCTTTGGCACGCTCCCGGAATCGCAGGATACCTTTGTCATTTCCCCTTTACCAACCATTCACCTGGAAGAGTCCTTAAAGAAGAATCTAGATTATCCCTTCAAATTTCAGAGGCATTTCGTCAATTGAGTTTGATTATGTTTTTAAAAAGGAAAGTTTTCATCGGTAATTTATGGTAACCAAAATCACTTGACCAAATGCCTATACGGCAAAGCACTTTTTTTTGCAAATTTTATTCTTGAATCACTTTGTTTTCATATCAATTGTGGTTTATTACCTACGCAAAAAAATAAGGAAAGAAAATTGGCTTTCCTTCACACGGGTTGTTCTTACCAGCTAGCAACTAACGTTAATACACTGAAGTATATATCTATGTCTATATCTGTATCTGTATATGTTTATGTTTATGTATATGTATATGTATCTGTATATTTATATGTATATGTGTACTTTATGCATAGTCATACAACTATCGAATAGTTTTAGTGGGTGCCCAAAATGTACACGACTCTTTTTTTAACTCCAACAACAATTTGACTAAGCCGCTATAAAAGTTAAGGTAAAATAAAATAAAATAAAATAGAATTTCATTGAAAACATAAGGAAATGTGCGTGGTGTAGTTAGGTGTTTGTATTATGTTTATATGTATGTGTCTATGTATGTACAGTTAAAAAAATATGAATATCGAGTAATGGTCGGTGATTGCAGAAACACCAAACACCATAGAAGATTGGGTTGAGCATGTTCTCTTAATAATCGGCTTCTCCGCTTCAATATTCTGCTAGTTTATCCGACTTTAATCGGCTTAATCTGCATATAGGTTTAAGTTTATTCTTAGGGCCTCGTGTTCTTCGATAACAATTTTCCTATTTACAGTTTACAACTCAAACTTGTTCAATTTGCTTTGTGTTTTTAGTTAAGTTTTTGTTTTTTGTTTTTTTGCTTTGCTTAGCCGTAGTGATATTTTTCGCTTGCGATTTTTAGGGGGCTTTTACATGCCCATACAACAACAATAATATCAATTCTATCCAAAAGTGAAAACAAAAATTCGCTTGAAATTCCCTCTCGATTTTATAATTCTTAAAAAACATCATCAGTCTTGAACTTAGTTTAGGTTTCCGTCCATTTGCTAAGATATCCCCTTCTCCCCGACTCCCTCTTTCTCTGTTGTCAACTCAAGCAAATATTGTTGGTCTTCATTTGTGACCTTGTCTTTTTGTTTTTTGTAAATGGAAATAGATAATTGGGATGTTAGGTAGGAATTTGAGGAAGGACAGGACGGGTCTCACTACAATCCAGGTTCGAAGGCACAATTTCAAAAGTGTTCTCTCCCAACATCGCGACTAACTAACGCCTTTTCTATACACTAGCCATACTTTTATAAACCCTGTTTCGGTCTTTGAACTCGATGGAATCTGCTGGGCGATCTTTAGAACTTAAGAAGTTAATTATTTCGTGTCCCATAAGGGGGCGAAAGAGTAGAATATTACAGATTTTATAAACGCATTATTAAGGTATATGTTAATACTTAAATGTGTAGCTTTGTCAACGATCTAAAAGTGTACACAAATTCCATCGAAATTCAATAAAAAACAGTTGAACTTTCTTGGGGTTCTGGATCGGAACTCTGGACTTACTAACTTAACTCAGAGGCGAGTGATCTCTGCGCAACAGAAACTCAGGGCTCGGAGGACGGGTTTTGGGTTCGGATTTGGATTGAAAACTTGCAGCATCCTTGGATTTCCTCATACAAAGAACTCCTCGTTGCCGAGGCTGCTGCCGGATGCTTCAACCAATTGCCAGGGCCAGGACCATCCGCCTCCTCCGCCCCCGAGGAGTGTGAATCACCGTTCCGTGGAATGGGTGGTGGCTCCCCCGCCAATTCCGCTGCTGCTCCCCGAACCGGAAACCGAGTTCAATCCCTGGCGGCGGAAGAAGCCCAGGGTATCCAGCGCCTTAATAGTGCGTCGGATTAACTCGTCCTTGTACTTCCAAATGGTCTTGTCCTCCACCGAATGCTCCCTGTACTCCTCGCAGCTCTTCTTCAGCGTCTTGACGCAGTCCGCCCGATAGTGCTGCAGCTGGGCGTCTTGCGTATCCACCGGGTAAGACTTGCAGACTCCGCCCAAACAGCTCAGTGGGAAGTGATTGTGCAAGGTGAGCACACGCTCCGGATCGTGGAAGCACTTAACATACTGATTGGGCTTGGTGTAGTTCTTGGCCCGGTGGACGTGCTGGAGCATATGCATGTACTTGGGTATGTCCTTGTGCCAGCCGTGCTCGTGCTGCTGATCGTCCAAGAAGTACACGTTGCGGAAGTTGTAGCTGTGGAATCCATCCGGTTTTATTTTCCGTGACTCCGGACGCACCTTGTCCATCAACTCCGACCATAAAACAGCCCCACCCTTGGGCATGATCACCTCGTCGATGTCCAGAAGTGCGATATAGTCGTAGAGATAGAGGTTTTTGTACAGACAGTCGTTGTATGGGATCACCTCGTTCTGGCGCTTGTGGTTTGTCTTCTTGGTCAGATAAAGGTGCTGGAATCCGGGCACATTCGGCTGTCCGCCGGGAAGTGTCAACGGAATCACCTGGACCTTGCCCTCCTGCTCGTAGTGGTTGAGCACCTTTGTGATGTTGGGGTGGACCTAAAGAAAAATTGCAAAAGAAGAATACATTTTCGAGTGGCGTAGTGTAGATTAATTTAGATTAAACGATGGCTGATGTGCTCTTTCTGCTCGATTCTGTAGTATCGATAAGCTACAGACTTTTTGTTATTACTATCTTACCTGCAGATTGTAGAAGTATATCTTGTCGGCCCCCAGAATATTCAGCATTTCGATCCACTCGATCAGGCGCACACTCAGGTCGTCGTAGAGGAAGTCCAATCCCTTGACACAGACGGCGAATCCCTTTTTCTGATCGTCGGGCGGTCGGTTGTAGATCACCCGCAGGTTATTGGTAGCCGTGTCGCACTCCTTCTCCACCATTGACACGGAGCTAGGAACTACACCGTGGAAGGGCTTGGGGATCTGGCAGGCGATTAGGTATGGCTGGTAGATGCCCTGCTTATAGTTGCCCCACTTGTTATACCAGATGTACTTGTACTCGAACGTCTTCACGATAAACGGCTCTTTCTGGCCGTCGAACCAAAACTGGCAGTAGGTCTTCACCTTGGGCTCAATGCGGTCGATCATCCCTAGGATCCTTACTGTGGGACCCAGCAGCGAGGTGCGCCTGATGTCGTAGTAAGCCCCGAATAGCTGGAAAGTTCCGTTCGAGGTGCGCAGCGTCTGCCAGTAGATGTTGTTGAACTCCAGTTCGAAAATGGAGGGGTACTTGGCGCAGGTGGAGGACTTCTGCTGCAGGAAGTTCTTGTTCTTGCTCCAGTAGGCGATTGGCAGCGAGGGGATGCGGGACTCCACGTCGCGGACCAGCTGGTCATCGTCCATAGCTTGAAGGTGTTTGAGAATATATTGATTTAATCAGGAAACTGTATTGCAAGCACTCGACCTTACCTGTTCGATTGTCCACCAGTATCTCGCTGGGATCGAAGTGATCCGTGGTGGTGGAGGTGGTTTCGGCGAACCGCATGTCCTTCTGCAGCAGGATGCGTCCGTTAAGTGGCACTTGCTGGTACTCCTGCGGCACCAGATTCGTCCCGTGCATCTTGAACAGCCCGATGATGACGAATGACCAGACGCATAGCGAAAACAGGATCTTCAGGATCACCTTCGAGTGGGCCATAATGACTCGGACTGTGTGCTAATCTGATTTACTTTATATGGCTTGGAGTTGCCTCTCTTCAACCCGGTGGCTGCAATCACAAATGAGAAATGGAAGCTCGTTAGAAGGCGTTGATCGTCGGCACCCCTTCCCCTCCCCCTAATCATTCATTTTTGTTGAAATATGATTTGTCGGGCAACAATCGATATACAAACTTTGGTCACTCTTAAGCTACCCTTTTATTGCTTTGTGCGATATTTTCTTATGTATTCTTCTTCTTGTATCTGCTTTTGAAGACGTCACCACATATTGTCGCGCAGCCTTATTAAACATATAAACTTATAAGTTACTCATGTTAAACATACAGCTTCTTATCCGAGTTCCACAATAAATAAAATATCATATAACCAACAGGTTATGGGCCCAGGGCTCGTGTGGATAAAAAACTGTGACATTAATTTAAATTACTGTGTGTGATTGCGAAAAAATTAATGAACATGAGTGGACACGGGTTATGTTCCATCGAAAAGTTGGATGAAGAAAATTACGCGGTATGGTCGGTACAGATGAAAAGCATTCTGGTGCAAAGTGATCTGTGGCCAATTGTGTGCGGGAGAACTGTGAAAAATGAAGGGGATAGCCAAGAACAAAACGCATTGTTTGATACACGGGACGAAAAGGCATTAGCAAGCATATTGCTGGGTGTAAAGTCGTCGCAAATTAACTTCATAAAGAATTGCACGTCGTCAAAAGAGGCATGGGAGAAATTAATGAGTGTGTACCAGCCGCGCGGACCAGCTAGAAAAATAGCATTGTTTAAAAGATTGCTGCGAATGAACTTGCTAGAAAGTACAAGTGTGCAAAGCTATATAAGTGAATTCTCGGACATAGTGGAAAAGTTAAACGAAATAGGAATGAACATAAGTGAAGACATGCTTACAATTTTGTTGCTAACCGGCTTAGGCAAATCATTTGAAAATTTCGTTGTGGCAATCGAGACGCGAGAAATGTTGCCGTCCTTATCTGACTTGAAAATAAAAATTATTGAAGAAGGACAGAGACAACAAGTGAAAAGTGAAGTTGCGGACAGCAGTGTGCAGCAAGCATTTATGTCGCGCGCGAAGAATGTATACCAAAAGGGTAATACAAAAAAGAAAAAGAAGTGCTATAGGTGCGGACGCGAAGGTCATTTTATAGCTCAGTGCAAAGAAGAATTAAAAAATGACAAAGACACAAGCACTGAGAAGAAGAGAGCCCTTGCTATTCTGGCGAATGTGAAGAAAACTGACAATTTGAGCAAATCAATGTGGTGTCTGGACAGTGGCGCGACTGTACACATGTGTTGTGATAAGTCGTGGTTCGTAGAAATGAGAGAGCACAAAGAAAAAATATTTCTTGCTGGCGCCAATTTTGTGTTGGCCGATGGCATTGGCACTGTGTGTGTTAGTGTAAAAAGTTTCACAATAGAACTGAAAAATGTGTTGTATGCAAAAGAGTTACAGACAAACTTTATATCGGTGGCTAAAGCAGTTGAAAATGGATATAAAGTCATTTTTGATAACCACAAAGCAGTGATTAGGGATAAACAAAATGTGGACATATTGAAAGCGTGCAGATATGGTGACTTGTTTATGATTGACATAAAAATGAAGCAGTGTATGTATTCTAATACAAACAGCAGTGCAATGTGGAAATGGCATTATCGTTTTGGCCATATAAATTTGTCAAGCTTAACTAAAATGGCGAGTGGTGGAATGGTGAATGGTTTAAAAACAGTTAATACAAAAATTGACTCAAACAGCAATGCGTGTGAGACTTGCGCCAAAAGTAAAATTAGTGTGAAACCATTTCCAAAGAAATCTGAAAGTCGTTCAGAAGAAGTGTTGAATTTGATTCATTCGGACATATGTGGACCAATGAACAAACCGTCTGTCGGGGTGCGCGTTATTTTGCAACGTTCATTGACGATCACTCGCGTTATACAGCTGTTTATTTTTTAAAATCTCGTGATGAAATACTAAGCGCATTCAAAGACTATGTTGTGTTTGCAGAAAAACAACGCGGAAAGAAAGTAAAAGCAATTCGAAGCGATAACGGGCGCGAGTACGTGAGCCACGCATTTGGACAATTTCTTACTGAAAACGGTATAGTAAGACAGCTGACAGTACCCTATACTCCACAGCAAAATGGAGTTGCCGAAAGAGCAAATCGCACTCTGGTAGAAATGGCCAGGAGTATGTTGATTCATTCAAGCGCAGATGAGAGCCTGTGGGCTGAGGCAGTACAGACTGCAGCATATCTGCGCAATAGGTCAGAAACAAAAGCGTTGTGCAACATGACACCATATGAGGCGTGGGTTGGCAAGAAACCGTATGTGTCGCACCTCAAGGTTTTTGGCTCAAAGGCAATCGTATTGAATAAAGCCCATAAAAAGAAGTTTAGCCAAAAAGGTAATGAATACGTTATGATTGGCTATTCAGCAACGGCAAAAAGCATATCGTTTGTTTTGTCCTAAATCAAGGAAAGTTATTGAAAGCAGAGATGTTATTTTCATGGAAAATAATGTAGGTGGATCTCCAAGCGATAAAATGGAAATGGCATTGTTTGATGATTTTGTAGCAGATAATCAGCAGGCACAAGACAACAATGATGAGCAGCTTCAGGCAGAGGATGATTTGGACGTCGGAGAGGATGACTTGGACACAGGAGATGATCAGAACAGTGATGAATACGAGAGTGCTATCAGCGATGAGGCAGAGCAGCCTGCTGTATCTGAAACCCGTGGACCAGGGCGTCCAAGACTCGTTAAAACTGGCAAGCCGGGGCGACCACGTAAGCAATACAACTGTCTGAATATGCTGAAGGCAGAGGATATACACATTCCAGCAAATTTGGGTGAGGTTAATCAGTCAGGAATGAAGCAGGAATGGTCAGCATCGATTCAGAAGGAGATGGATGCGCTAGAGGCCAATAACACGTGGGATCTAGTGGATCTGCCACAAGATAAAAGGGCTATAGGCTGCAAGTGGGTATTTGGCGTAAAGGTTGACAAGGAAGGCTATGTAGAGCGCTTTAAGTCAAGACTAGTTGCCAAAGGATGTGCTCAGCGCTATGGTGTTGACTTCTGGGAAACATTCTCACCTGTGGTCAGATACCCGTCCGTTAGAATGATCATGGCATTGGCGGTTGAGAAGAAGCTGCATTTGCATCAGATGGACGTATCTACTGCTTACTTGAACAGCGAGCTATCGGAGGACGTGTACATGCGGCAACCAGATGGGTTCGTAAGCGAAGAGTTTCCCGAGAAGGTCCTAAAGCTAAAGAAGTCTCTGTACGGGCTTAAACAAAGCGGCAGAGAATGGAATACTAAGCTCGACGCAGTATTGAAAAAACTTGGTTTTACACCGTGTGTCAGCGAGCCGTGCGTATATGTACGCAATGGACAAGGTAGTATAAATATAATAGCAGTTTATGTTGACGATCTTTTACTTGCCAGCTCAAATAAAGATGAACTTTTGGGCATCAAAGCATCAATCGCTAATAAGTTTGATGTTGTGGATGGCGGCCAGCTCAATCACTTTTTGGGCATCGAAGTTGAGCGCGATGGCGAAACTGGCAGCATAGCTATCGGCCATAAGCAGTATGTCGAGCAGATGCTTCATGCCTGGGGCATGTCAACATGCAAACCTGTAGCTACACCACTGGAGGCGGGTCATCAAGTCAAATGTGATGACGCCAAATGCAAGGCCATTGACGAGAAAGGCTATCAATCGTTAATAGGCACCCTGATGTATTTGGCTATAACAACTAGGCCAGACATACTACACTCGGTAGTGAAACTGGCGCAGCGCAACGCCAATCCTCACAAGGAGCATGAAGTTTCGGCAAAGCGCGTGCTGAGATATCTTAAAGGCACGGCTAACATGAAGCTTCACTATCAGGCTACTGGAAAGGAGATACATGGATACGTGGACGCTGACTGGGCTAACGATACTACAGATCGCAAATCGTATAGCGGGTACGTCTTCATTGCTGCTGGCGGGGCAATTTCGTGGGAATCAAAAAGCAAAGTTCGGTGGCACTTAGCAGCACCGAAGCCGAGTACATTGCCTTATCCACGGCAGCTAGAGAGGCGATATATCTGAAGAAACTATTGTATGAAATGGGTTTCTTAGAAACCAAGTCCGTTTTGTTGTATTGCGATAATCAAAGCGCACAATGTTTAGCTAAGAATCCGATTTTGCATAAACGTAGTAAACATATTGATATTAAGTTTCATCATGTACGAGAGTTATATACTAAAAATGAAATAGATGTTAAGTATATAAGTACTAATGATATGGTCTCAGATGTGTTAACTAAAAACTTGCAAAAGAACAAACATGTAAAATGTATTAATGAAATGAATTGTTATTAATATGTATAAAGTATATGATTGTTGAGAAGGAGTGTTGAAATATGATTTGTCGGGCAACAATCGATATACAAACTTTGGTCACTCTTAAGCTACCCTTTTATTGCTTTGTGCGATATTTTCTTATGTATTCTTCTTCTTGTATCTGCTTTTGAAGACGTCACCACATATTGTCGCGCAGCCTTATTAAACATATAAACTTATAAGTTACTCATGTTAAACATACAGCTTCTTATCCGAGTTCCACAATAAATAAAATATCATATAACCAACAATTTTAAATGCGGCAGCTAGCCGGTTGGTCCTTTTCTGTTCCCCAAATCCAACCCGAAGCCCCCGTTTTCCACTTTGCTCAGGCGCAAAATGTCAAGCTGAATACCATGTTTAATATTTTCTTGCCCGGGGCTAGGAATCCCCACCAGAACAAGGGTGTTGCGGCGGGCGAAGGTCCTTAGTCTAATGGAAAACAATCTAAACGCGCCGCAACACAACAGCAGAAACTCGGACAGTGGTTTCAGAGTGCCACAACATGGAAGCCCTTATTTATATTTACAGGCTACGCGAGATAGCAATGTATCTACTATTTAAGTTTATTTAAGAAACCTAAGTTATGCATCTGAGAAATCGATTGCAGCTGATTTCCACTGTTCGCCTTGGTTAACTCTCAATTCACTCGG